AGAGTAATCCACATGGTTACTAGCAAATATTTCCCTGCTTCTGGGAAATTCTTACTCCATCTGGCTGGAAGTTCCCTTTTGGCTATTCCTCTTGATAAACATAGTTATGAATAGTCAACCTCCTGGGCAATTGAAAAAGCCATTACACAGTTGGAAAATTCAGGCTTTGAAATATTTAATCATAAGAATTTTTGTAATTAAGCAATTAACCCAATTTTAGGAAGATAAACACAGTGCATCTTGAAACTTTGTAAATTACATGGACCACTGTGTCCTCCTTATTGTTCCCTTGATATCAGGTGCTGCTTCTGTTCTCTTTCTTCTCTGAGAGTTTGTCTGCTGTGAAATGTTGTTGATAATATTCCAGGCTTAGTGATCAGCTCTATTCTCCTCCTTATGGGATGAAATTTGCCCCTGTGCAGAGGGACAGTGTAAATCCTATGTCAGATTTAAGCCTTGTTTTGGGGGATTAAATGTCATTTAAATCATGAATATACTCTTTTCTTAGCCTCTAAATGTGTGATTTTTACCCATGGAGAGGAAGTGCACAACTAATTCAAGTGGCACACATCTTTCTCTTGTTATCTATCTGTCCCTTCTTTAGGCCTAAAACACTGTATTCAGATTCAAATTCACTGAAAGTCTGGACTGTTGTTATCTAGAGTTTTTATTTTGGCCATTCTTTGTGTCTCTCAATAAAATCTTTACCACCATAGTTTTAGGGTATATATTCCTTATGCTTGAAATATAATTCATATTAAGCCAAAATGGACTTGTATAACTAATCACTCATTGTGAAATGTAATGAATGAAAGCAGAAACTATTCCAGTGCATTTTAAACCAGTTTTCCCCCCTGTGTCTCAATTTTTAAAATGTCTAGCAATGTGTGATCACATTTTTCATTTCATCATTTGAAAGCTTTGAACAAATATGTTTTCCTGAATAATTACACTGTCGTACTGTAATGTATACAGCTGTATATCCCAATTCTGCTTCATTAGTGTCTCCTGTTTGGGTTTGCGAATCCAAAGGTGGTCTGCTTCAAACACTCCAAAGTAAACAGAGCTTTTTTTGTTCCAAAATATTACTCAACTATGTGAACAGGGAACACTTCTTAGTACAATACTGTGATGCACTGGGGAATAGGTCTGTGTCTAAGTATGGATTTTATTTGGTTTCAGGAATGCTATTTGTAGTTGCTAATAATTGTGAATTAGACCATCCATTTTGTAGCAAGAATTATGCCTGGAAAGCATGGATAATTGAATGGAAAATTTGTGAATGGCACTAAGGTCAGAGAAGTTGCAAGCACTTTGGAGGACAGGATTAGAATTTGACACATTGGAGAATCAGTCTGAAATCAGTAAGATGAAATTTATTACAGTCAAGAGCAAAACAGGAAGGAAAAAATCTAATGCACAATTACAAATGGAGGATAAATAGTACTCCTGAAAAAGATCTGGAGGTGACAGAGGATCACAAATTGAAAATGAGTCAATGATAAGGTACATAAGTCAATGATAAGATTAATATTCCGGGGTGTATTAACAGGAATGTCATATGTAAGACATGGGAAGTAATTGGACCCCTGTTTTGTACTGTCAGGGTTATATAGGGACTACTCGGTCCAGTTCTGAGTGCCACCAGTTAGGAAAAATGTGAAAAAATTGGAGTGTCCAAAGAAGAGCAGCAAAAATGGTAGAAGGTTGAGAACCTGACCTAAGAGAGAAAAGGTAAAATAACTGGGCATGTTTAGTCCTGAAAAATAAAGACTATGGGGAAGCCCTTGTGAGTCTTCAGATATGTAGATATGTTAAGGGCTGTAATAAAGAGAATATGACACATATTACAGCTATTTCTCCGTGTCCACTGAAAATAGGAAAAGAAGTAACTTTCTGTCAGGCTAGTTAAGCTCTGAATAGGCTTTTGAGGGAAGTTGTGGACTCTCCATCACTGGAAGTTTTTAAAAACAGGTGGACAAACACCTGTCAAGGATAATATAGTGTTCTTGGTCCTGCCTCTATGCAGGAGTTTAGACTTGATGACTTCCTGGGGTCCCGTCCATTCCTACATTTCTGTGATTGGGTAACAGAGACATCATGGACAATTAGCATTGAATGGCTCTGCCCTAGGGAAACTATAAATTTGCTATCGGCAGGACCATTGAGTCTCTTCACAGAAGATTGTCTCGGGAGAAAGAGAGGATAGAATCCTCCCAACCAGATCTAGGCGAATGGCTGGGAGAGGGTATGTTTTGAAAAGGGTGCTTCTCTAAACACCAGGGGCCTTTTCGTCTCCAAGACTAGAAGACCCAGAAGGAGGAGTAGAGGCAGAAGGAAATAAACCTGGGGGCTTACAAAATGGGGTGAGATCAGACTATTTGTTGGTTTCCAGGGGTTTGTAACCTGTGAGTGTGTGTGAGAGTAAAAACCAGAGTTTCTCCAGTTGCTGGACTTTGGCAATTATATTTGAAGCAAGGAGGGAGCTCTAGAGGGCTGAGGCACTGGTTCCCAGACTTTAGGTCAGGGGTTGGCAAAAGGGCCCCTGCTTGCCTTATCTGTCCCACCAAACAGATTGATGCAGCCCATGGAAGCCCTGCCGCTCCCCTGCCACCAGGCCAATTAGGGGAGTTTCCTCCACCCTGCCAGGAGTGTGAGGTGCTTAGAAGTACCATGTGCTCCTGGCAGGGTGAAAGGAGACTTTGCACGCTCCCCTGCCCCCAAGCCCTTATTGGCCTGGAGGCAGGGGGAGTGCGCGAAGTTTCTTCCGCCCTGCAAGGAGAAACGCCACATGCTCCTGGCAGGGCAGGAGGAGACTTTGCACGCTCCCCCGCCCCCAAGCCCTGATTGGCCTGGGGGCAGAAAGGGGAATGCATGAAGTCTCTTTTCACTACCAGGGGCATGGGCACTTAGGGGGAACCTCTGGGGGGTGCAATGATGTTCCACCACCCCCAGACTAACCATGTTCTGTGGGTGGGTAAGCAGGGAAGTATCCTGGCCCCAGCCCCTTCCTCTTGGGGCTCTGCCCCTTCCGGTGCAGCCCCGGCTCATTTCACAAATTTCTGAAGCAGCCCCTGACAAAAGATTATTGCCCACCCCCTGCTTTAGGTGGTTGAATTATAAAGTGCCACTGCCCAAGAATGTGGCAGGCGTGGGTTTAACCAGGCATGCCTGGGGCAGCCCTCACTGGAAATGCAAAGGTTAGGGCAGGCTGCCAAAGGGAGAACAGATGTTCCCAGCACTGGGAGGGAGGGGGTACGGAAGGTAGACTCTCCAATCAGTCACAAATTGTGCTTCTGATCTCCCACACTGGTTATCAAGAAGCCAAAAAGAAAATCACACTGTTCCCTTTATTGCCTTCCAGTTCTCTGACCCCAGCCAGCACCCAAGTCCAGTAAAGTGAGAAGTTCTGTTAAAAAACTCTGCTCACATATATGTGTTCTTCTGATCCCTAAGGGTCAGCCAGGTTACCAGGTCAGTATAGGTTTGGATCTTACCCTAAATGCCACATTGCCAGTCCATCCTTTAATGTGTAAAACTAAAGATTTAGTATAAAGAGAAAAGAATGAACAAGAAGAGAGATGTTAAATGGCAAAACAGTCACATACATATAAAGACTTCAAAATCTATCAGTGAACTAGCAGTACTGGTGGGTTTGCTGGCTTGAAAGTCCCTGGAACACATCCATAGCCATTCAGTCCTTTTTTTTCAGTTTTGTTTGTAGAAAGATT